GAGTGGTGCAGAAAAACAAAAAACAGAAAATTGAAAATACAAAAAAAAAACAATTTTTTTAGGGGGTTTGCGGGTGGGTGGTGCAGAAAAACAAAAGAACAGAAAATTAAAAATACAAAAAATACAAAAAAAAAAGAAGTAAAATTAGGGCAACTAAGTAAATTTCTAGATAAGTTGGGTTGAGATCCCTTTGTTTTGGGTGAGTTTCATGGGTTGTATTTGGGCTGCTTAATGGGTCAGAATGGGCTATAAAAATTAATGGGTTAACTTGGGCTCAACCCAAATTGATCCATGAGCTAAAATATTTTTAGCCCAACCCATTAATCTCTGGGCGGATTAGGCGGGTTGGAAGGATTTGGGCTCAAATTGCCACCCCTGATATAAAGAGAAATTTTCATAAAGCACTATCTTTTAGTGGTAATTAGCTATCTATAGATACCATTTGCTATATTACGGATTGTAGATACGTTTTCTGTTGTTATAAGATGTATTAGATGTATTTAAGCTACTGTATTCATGAGTACAATAGCAAAAATAGGCGTGAACCAGGGAAGTCCAGCTAATCAGTTGTTGTATTCGAGTGTATTCGACTGTATTCACGGCGTGAAACAGGGGATTACACTGTTTTTAAACGGAAAGTGTATCAATTAACATAATAGACTCCTAATATAACTCAAAAGAACTCAATTTTAACACACAAAATTTGTATTTTCGGTTATAAAAAAGATTCTCAACCGAAAAATACCCAAAAAATATAGCAATCTTCAGAGAAATTATATAATACATCTGAATACATAAATTATATTAATTAAAAAAACATATGAATACATTCATGGCATATAGAGAGACAGTGAATACAATGAAATACATAGAATACAACGGGATACATTGAAATACAATTAAAAAAAAGACAGTGAATACAATGAAATACATGGAATACAGCAAGATACATTGAATTACAATGAAAAAAAGACAATGAATACAATGAAATACATGAAACTAAAGCGTGATACGTTGAAAAATACATTGAAATATATTAACAGAAAATCAAGTTGCTCAGCCCCAAACTCCGTCGTCTTTGTTCAAGAACAAACCCTAATTTTCGGCGAATCCGCCGTCGAGCAATGGTGGCAGAATAAGGACTCTGTTAAAGCTTGAATCTTGTATTGAAGATGACGGTAGTTGAGAACCTCGAGTTTATCCAATATTAGGACTCTTCTTTCTCCAGAAGATGAACCTCGAGAAGATGACGTCGTCGAGCAATGGTGGCAGAATAAGGACTCTTCTTTCTCCAATATTAACATACCTATAACTTTACTAACCTCGAGTTTATTAGCGAACCATTCTTCGTTAGCTTTAGTCATGTTCCAATTACAATGGCGAAGAAGAGCCAAAGCAACGTCCGATGGAATTGGAGAAATTGGGATCGGAGAGAACGTATGTGATGTGGGTGAGAGGAATTTTGAGATTGAGCATCGTGTTTTTAGGGAATGGTGGAAGAGAATGACATGTATCAAAGTAGAGAGAGAAAGAAAATAGTGTAACTGAATAGCGTATTTAGTGGCTTAGGGGTAGGAGGTAACCAAAATTAGATATTTTGCTATAATTAAAAGGTATCTATAGAATATAATTTTTTAAATAATAATTGTTTAAAATAAATAAGGCGTTAACCTTTGCTATAGGAGGTAAAAATCTCTAACATAAACCAAAGCCAATAGAAGTAGGCAATCAAATGCTTCACTATCGTTGAAAGCACTAAAAATGATTTTTAATTCGTATAATCAGAGTGTACTAGAGCTTCCACAACGCTTCCTTTCCTTCCATTGTATTTTTACTTTTTTACCCGGTGATCGATATTCATTATACGAGCTGATTAATCAGAATTCATGCTCAAAAAAATCTATTCGGAGATAAAATATTTTCTATTAAAGGGCAATTTTATACACATCTCTCGAACTCGAGACACCTAATTAAAAATAAAGACTACTTATCACTCCGTCCTATCTTTTGGTAGTTCTTTCCTTTCTATTACAAGGAAGTCATTATAATCATAATTTTTCACAAAATATAAACCAAAGCCAATAGAAGGAGGCAATGAAGTCATTATAATCATAAATTTTCACAAAATATAAACCAAAGCCAATAGAAGGAGGCAATGAAGTCAAATACTACTCATCATTGAAAGCACTACAAATGAATTATAATCATATAATTAGAGTTTACTAGACTTTCCACAAAGCTTCCTTTCCTTTCTATTACAAGAAAGTCATTTTGAAGACTCATTCCTTTTGAGGCATAATTGGTCATTTTTAAACCTTGCTAAAATTCGAGATTTCTATTGGCCAAAACATTTTCTCAAGTCCTTATTCAGTGTTTAGGGTCATAGTGGGATGAACGTGATCCCTTTATCCTTAACACGAAGTTTCGTGTTCGAGTCACGAGAATAAAAGGAATTTTCATAAGAAACACTTTCTCATTTAATTAGTGAGTCTTATACGATACAAAGCCGTATTAGTTGGAATACAATACAGGATACTGAACATCGAGTGAGAATTATATATATATATATATATATATAATGTGATGACACTCAAGATTTCTATTGGTTTAAAAGTCCTTACCACTTGTTGATTGAATAAACAATACTATTTGTAAAGTGACTCAAGAGTTGCTCTCTTTACATATTCACGATTCAACTCCTTTAAAACTAATTTCATCACATTTAATTGATGGAATATTGAAAGGAATATCCCTGTTCGTACAATTAAGTACTCTCTTCGTTTTATATTAAATGAGGTACTTTTCTTTTTAGTCTGTTCTAAAATAAATGACACATTTCTAAATTTGGAAATAATTCAACTTTAAACTCCTCATTTTACCCATTTTACCCTTAATGAAAAGTTTTTATAACCACACAAAAGTCATGGCCCCACAAAGCATTACCCTTTAAGCTTTTAAGACCACAAATTTCAAAAGTCTTTCTTTTTTTCCTTAAACTCCGTGCCGAGTCAAACTACCTTATTTAATATGAAACGGAGGGAGTATTAAACAAAGTTTCTTCTCATTTATTTGTGTGGCTAGTAACAGACTAACAAGTCCAAAAAAGAACATACAACTTATGGTGTTTGGCTAAAAATCTTGGAAAACTGAGTTTACCAAAAACAGATACACTTTTGCAACTTGTTTGTTATGCTGTTTTTGCTAAAAAAAAGAAATTACTTTTTCTCAACTTTATTTCTAAGCTCATTGTTTAATCATGGAATATCAGCATTTTAATATTTTTGAATTTTTTTTCAAGTTTCCAAAAAATGCAAAACTGGTGTAGAGCAGTTTTTGTGTGAATTTTTTTCTTCTACTCACAAAACTTCAACTTTTTTTTTTTCCAAATAAAATACATGTCCAAGTACAACTTAAACTTTCAAAAATTAATTTTTAAAACAACTTTAAAAACTCTTTTTTCAAGTTTCAATCAAATCTATGTCCCAACGCTTGGTAAATATTTGGGAAAATTCAAAATCTGGTACAAGGGGAGTCTCTGGACATTGATTGTCTGAGAAAGAAAAATAAGTAGTATCTTATTATAAACTGTTAAATGATATTGATAAAATAATCCCATGTTATGAGTATAAACTAGTTAAATCCATATCCAATACTAGTAGTTAACAAAAAATTAAAAATAACATCATGGCATAGATGTTTTACATGTTCAATCTTCCAAAAAAGCACCTAAAAATGTGGTCTAATGGTTAAATAAGATGGGTGAAAATTTTGAAGATTAGGATTTAAATCCTAACCTAAACAAAAAACACTAGGTTATAAGCGCGAATACTTTATATTTATACTGGTGGAAGATAATATATAAGTATTAGTGAAGTCTTGGAGGCAGGGGCGGATTTAGGGGGCGCAAGAGTGCTCACCCGAACACCCTTCGCCGAAAAATTACACTGTATATATAAGGCAAAATATGTTTTTTACCTCTATATATTAAGTTTTGAACACCCTTAACACAATCCAAAAGTATAGTTTAGTAGTCAAGGGGGTTCAAAATCTACATAAGGTCATGGGTTCAATTCACAACTATAATAATGCTTGGAGGGCTCTTAAAACAACCCGATACTTATAATAATGAAGATAAGAGTCTTAGAGCAACGGTAAAATCAGCCACTTATATTTGTAGGATGCCTACATTACACCGTATTGCAATACGACCTTTCCCCGAACGCTATGTAAACGCAGGATATTAACGTACTTGTTGCTTCCTTCACATACTCAACCAACCACCCCCCTCGCTTTCTATCCCTTTCTTCTCCTTCCCACGTAACCCCCCAAAATAACAGTATAAAAAAACACACACACACACACTTCAATTATATATAAGTATAACCCCATTTCCATTGAAGACAAAGAAAAAAAGTGTAAGCAAACACTAAAACCATAGAATAGTTACAATAGTATAGTAGTAGTAACCAAAAATATGGGATTACAAAACCAGTTAACTGACATTTCTTCTGAATCAATCCCAATATTAATGGTAACCCTTTTTGCTAACTCCGTTAATTATCTCCGTTCCGTTATCTTCACTTTCTTTCACTTCATTGGTTTTGGTTTCTCTTCTTGTTCCCGATTATTTCCCGATCAGTTCGAAGATTCTTTATACGAAGTTGTCGGGTCCGGTCTAACCGGAATTATTTTCCTCGCCGAGCAGCTTAATCTGAACCGGTTGTTATCTTATTATTACCAAGGGGATGAAAAAACTGATTCCGGTTCGGGGACTTGTGTGGTTTGCTTGAACCGGTTGAGTGATGGTGAACCGGTGCGCAAGTTAGCATGCTGGCACGTGTTTCACACGGAGTGTTTGGATGGGTGGTTCAATACGCTTAATTTTAATTGTCCGCTTTGCCGGTCGAGTTTGGTCTCCGATGAGGGCGTGGTGATCACGCGCCGCCGCGTTGCTGGTGATTTGCTGACCTGGTTCTCGTTGAGCTGAGTGTCCATGGTCGATGATGATGATGATATGAGAATTCATCAAAATGAGACACTTTACTTTTTTCTTTTTTTTTTTGTTCTTTTTTTTTTCTTCCATTTTTTTATGAATACAGTTAGAGTTTCTTTTTTTTTTGGGGGGAGGAAATTATGTCATTTCCTTCCCCCCTCCTCTTTCTTTTGAAGAGCATTGATGACTGTCTCTTTTTTTTTTGGGTTTTTCATTCGGTGTCCGGTGCCTGCATTGGAGTCCGACTATATTCGAATTCGCGCCGCGTAGGATCCCATTCGGGGGATGCGTTCTCTGCAATGGATTTTTTCATATCCTCTGGTTAAGGAAGGAGTAATTCCATCCGCTGTACCACATGATTGCCTCTTTTCCGCTACTGAGTAGATGTAAAAAAGCTTTTGTTTTTGTTAGAAGGAGTACTTTTTAATATGATTTTATATTTCAATTTTTACACTTCCAGTCCTCTCTGAAAATAGGAAAGCTTATGTATTTTTTTTGGGTTTAGGTCTTTGATATAATTTGCAAAAGCTATGTGTATTTCCTAGTTATTTTCGATTATAATATGCTATCGAGATTCGAGGTATAGATTTTAGGACTTTAAATTTATGGCTATAATACAATATTGGTCATTTATTTAATTTTATATTTAGAATAGTACGACCACGTATTATGAGAATGATAACTTTTAAGCTGTTAACCAACTTATCAAAACTCTCCTCCGTTATCCCGTCTAGAACTAATATACATGTCCATGAGACTCCTATTTCATGTTTACTTGTTATAGGTCTTAAAAAATGAGACTTTTAGTTGTAATCCACTTAGTAGGCATTTGGACATAATAACGTGCATTTTTTTTTAATTAAAAAAAGTTCAATAATTTTTGAAGTTAAATTGAAACGAAGTATTTGAAAACTGAAATTGTGTCTGGACATGTATTTTATTTAAAAATAAATTGTAAAGGAAAATATTGTTTACTAGAAAAAGTTTACCACTTTTTCAAACTTGAAACTCATCTTCAAAAATTCAGTTTAATGTATAACCAAATAATATTTTAATGAGTTTCGGAAAAAAGGAAAAAATTATTATGAACAAACAAGTCCCTATAATTTGAAAGTATAAGGGCTAGTTTGGTACGGGGATAAAGGATAATTAATCAACCCATATTTGATAGGGATAAAATCGTGGTATAACTAATCCCGATATTAGTTATCTCGGGATTGTAGTAATTTTTTATCCCTATGGAAGGGTAGGATAACTAATCCCAATAAAACTACAACAATAACAACCAAGTAGAATCCCACTAGTGGGGTTTAGGGAGGTAGAGTGTACCCAGATCTTGCCCTGCTCCGGAGGGATAGAGAGGCTGTTTCCGAGAGAGCCTTGCCAATCCACAATAACTAATTCCGGCATTATTAATCATGATATAACTTGTTTTCCGACCAAAGTAAACCTAACTATATTAACTCACTATGGTTAATTAATTTAATTAGATGAGAATGCATGTAATTTATCATGGTTAAATGATTGAAGTCCATATGCAAAACACATATTATATATATGTATATATATATGTGCGGGTAAGTTTTTACCGTGTTTTGCCTATGTACGTTATACATACATTATCTGGATCCGAATTCTCCAAAATCGGACCGAATCCAATCTGTTCAGGCTTATAACCTTTGCCTATAAACCCTAAATTCATTCCTGCAAAAGGTACCTTTACTTTGTCTCCGCCGCCTAACTAAGAAGAAATGGCTGATCAACAGCATTGTACCTCTCGTGTTCGGCCTGGACATGATCCCATGGCTATGGAGTGTAAGATTGACAAATTAAATAATGATTTGCTTATAGCTATTCTTTCATATTTATCCGTAACAGAGGCAGCAAAAACCTGTTACGTCTCTCGTAGATGGAGATACTTATGGCAGTATACAACTGGCCGTTTCGAGATTTATGATAGCGATAAAAGAACTAGAGTGCCAGAGAGAGCACGTGAGTTTATGAAATTGGTAAATCGTGTTTTGAATTTGCACAAGGGTTCAACTTTAGATCAATTCCGAGTTGGTTTTTGTTATTTTGGTTGTTGGTTTTCATTTGTTCGTTGGGTTAAATTTGCTAGTCTGGGCAGTAGCGGAGGCAGGATCTCCATAAAGGGGGTTTAAATTTTTTTTTTGTAGCTAGTGGTGGGAATTGAACCCATGAATTTATGTAGATTTTGAACCCCCTTGACCATTAAATTACACTTTTGAATTGTTTTAAGGGTGTTCAAAACTTAATATATAGAGTTAAAAATAAATTTTGCCTTATATATACAGTGTAATTTTTCGGCGAAGGGTGTTCGGGTGAACACCTTTGCGCCCCCTAAATCCGCCCCTGGTCTGGGGAGGTAAAATTTTCTAGATTTTGTTTTCATCTAAAATCACTTACCTTGGTCAATGTCGGAGTTAAGGAGGAGATCATTCATTTTTTTTTTTTATCGAATTGTCCATGTCTTGAACAAGTCCGCGTTTCACGTTCTAAAAGCTTACAGAATTTGGAAGTTATGGGTTCGTTTCCAAGCACTACTAGAAATTCGTGTTTTAGCGATCACGAAAATCGATCAAAGTTGGTCGCTTATTGGCCAAAAAGCGACCAAACAGGCCTGGTCGATATTATCTCTAAGGTAAAAGGACCAAATTTTTCGGATAAAGTAAATAGCGATCAACTTTGGTGGCTAAAATATTTTAATATTATAATTTTTGCGACCAAAGTTGGTCTCCACATGTAAATTACGTTTTATTTTTATTTATTATTAATCATAAAAAAGCGTCCAACTTTGGTCTGTAAAGAAAATATTATATTTTAAAATCTGGAAAATAGAGACCAAAGTTGGTCGCTTTATTATTAATTTTTTATAATTTTTTTTAAAAATAAGCGACCACAATTGGTCGCCAACTGCAAGAATTAATTGTTTTTTAATTTTAAGCGACCAACTTTGGTCGCCATATTTCCAGAAATTATTTTTTTAAATGGAATAGCGACCAAGGTTGGTCACATTTGAGAAATCTGGGTTAAATAGCGACCAAGGCTGGTCGCTATTGCCCAAAAAATTGTTTTTTTAAAGTGAAAAGCGACCAGCTGGAGACCAAAGTTGGTCGCTTTTGTTGGTATATTTTTGGCAGAAACTGCCTATTTTGGCAGCTACACCACCTGCCAGCTTACCAAATATCCTAAACAGGCATTTTATGCCAACAACAACAACAACAACAATAAAAAGCAACAAAGTATAAAGTTCAATAGAACTAACACATTAAGCTAACAAAACTAAGTTAACGCTTATTACAAGCCCATTCGAAAACTGGTTCTATTGTCTAGTTCAAAGTATATAAAGTACTCAAGGATTGTTCTTTCAGCATCCTCGTCCGAAAGTTGGATTGCCTCGCCCAACTCATTAGGTGGCTGACTGCGTATGAATTCCCCCACATCAGCTGTGAAGCGAACCTATAAGAAAAATTATATTGAATTAGTATTTCAAAATTTATATAAAAGTAAATCAAAATACTTAATGAAAAGTAAAAAACTTACATGTATAGTCGACCCTCGACCCTCGACCCACCTTTTTGAATCAGTCTCTTTCTTCTTCTTTACAATACGAGTTTCATTGAATAGCTTATCTTGCTTCATTGGCATCATAAAGCTGTCTGGTGGCTTTGGTGATTATCCTCGTGGTACTATTACTCGGGATGAACTTGGATACAGAGAATAACTTGGATACAGTACCTGACAGGGTGTGTCTTTGATCAATTGTTGTTCTCATTAGCGACAATGATGATGAGAAGGCAATGGCATGTGTTTCAAATAGTGATGGTGTAGGTAGGAATTTAACATTTCCTAAGTAGATAAAAGAAAGGTTATAGAGGAATTCTCTACTTCATTTTCCAAGAGGAAAAGAAGTTTAATTGAGAATGACAAGATTGATGGTGATGGAATGTTTTCCATTGGTCATGGAAGTTCCCATAAAATGGGGATCATAAGACTCTATGATGACAAAGATGAAAGGAAATTTTATTCTCAACTTTCTTCCAAGTCTGATCCGTACAAGCTTAATGGGATATGTGACGACCCGTCATCACCTGTTTTCTTACCCATTCTGTGCTTCCGAGGCCTTGAAAACCTCATTTAGAGTCGCCTCGATTTGCGTGCGCAGTCCGGGCGCGTAGACAGAAAGTTTAAATATGAAATTCTATGAAAAGTGCTAAATTTTGATGTTAAAATGAATAAATTTGACTTTGGTCAACATTTTGGGTAAATGGACCCGGACCCGGACCCGGACCCGTGATTTGACGGTCCCGGAGGGTCCGTAGGAAAATATAGGACTTGGGCGTATGCCCGGAATCGAATTCCGTGGTCCCAAGCCCGAGAAATGAATTTTTTTTTGTAAAATTGTTTTCTGAAATTGTTTAAGGAAATTGGAAATGAAATTTGATTAGAAAGCGATGGTATCGGGCCCGTATTTTGGTTCCGGCGCCCGGTACAGGTCTTATATAGTTTAAGTCCTTTCTGTGAAGTTTGGTTAAAATCGGACGTCGTTTGACGTGTTTCGGACTTGAAATCCTAAATTTGGAACTTGATGAAGTTTTGGAGAATGCCTTGAATTCGAGGTTTAATTTGTTGATAATGATGTTATTTAGGCGATTTGATCGCACGGTTAAGTTCGTATGATGATGTTGAGTGAGTTCATGTGTTTGGTTAGGAGCCCCGAGGGCTCGGGAGTGTTTCGGAATAGTTTTTGACTTAGAAAAA